TTTTTTTTTAAGAAATTTTTACACACTTTTTGTTTCTAGAAAACTGTTTGTCTACTTTAAGTTTTATAAACACATTTATATATAAATATACATACGTATACATATTACGTTCGTAAACATATTACGTATCCATAAATATGTATACATGTGTATAGATATACAAATATGAATGCGTATGCATACGTATATGCATAAATACTTAAAATAAACTAACAGTTTTCTAAGAAAAAAAAAGGATGTCCCCTCCTATGTGTGTTGAATAGAATGAGATATGTAACAGGAATCGAATAGAGGGTTTTAAGTTTTTATTCATGCATTTTACATTGCTTATTCCTAATCGTATTTAATTATAAATATTGTTCCCAATGCATTTTTTCTTGCTTATTCTAATGGACTAATATTTAAAATGCGTTTTTTTTTATAAAGTATATTTATTTAAAAGAAACTTCTTACAGCTTTAAAACCAATTATGCCACACACTTGAATTTTATCTCATGCAATTAAGCATGAAAAACTAGATCGAAAAATGTATCTAATGTCTTCAGATAGCCCCTATATAGCGAAGCAAAAAGTGTGAATAAGTAAACGTCAAGAGTAGTTTTTTTTATACATGATTGAGAATTTTGAACTATTCGTTCTATAGCTAAAGTAAACTTTATAAGCAAAATAAATTTCATAAAAATTAAACTAAAACAAATATTAAATTTAGAATTATTTCTAACAATTAAGAAGTGCAAAATTTTGAATCCTTTGCAAATCAAGCTAGAATGATAAAAGTTAAGTGTCACTATTTTCAATAAGTATGTTACAATATTTCCGTATGAATGTATATCCTTTTATAAGAATGCGTGTATATAGTTGCAAAATCAATAGCAATCATTTACAACATTCATTTATAAAGGTAATTAAGTGAAAATAATATATTGTCCGATATATGCCATAAATTAAAGAAAACAGTAGTTTTTAGACGGTTTTTACTGGTAAAAACACGGTTTTTACCACTGTCATGTCAAAAACCCAACCCTGGTTTAAATTGAAGAGTCAAACAATATTAATAAAACATTATACTACTTTTAAAAACAAATATTCTCTAGTATATTTAATTATCAATATGTTATTAGTTCTATGTTTATTTTACCTCTTAAATATTGTTCAGATAAAATTGTGACATAATTTGAGTAAAAGGGTTTAGGACAGTTTTGGACAAAAGGGTTTTGGACAGGACGGTTTAAACCGTGGATTAATCCATTCTGTCCTAAACCTTGCCAACCCTGCTTGCAATTATTTATGATATGTTATGGATGAATAAGAATAATCTTTTGTTGTGTAATAAACTACCGTGTGAACTGTTTATATCCTAGCAAAATCTTGTATTGCCCCTAATATGTTTTGAAAAAAGTTCCTAAAATTTAAAAAAAAAACTTTGCTGCTACCCCTGTATGATATTTTTTTAAAGTGCGTAAAAGGTGCTTATTTTTTTGTTTAATTTGGCTATATGAATATATGATTTGGCTATAATGAAATTAAATTGTTAAAATAACTAAATTAGCAGTTCGTTGAGATATGATATAATGCATTCATGACAATATAATGTAATACCTCGTTATTATGTGATCTAATTACAGTTTAATGTCCTTACAAAATAAAATGTTGTGATTTTAATTTTAGCATACTTACTGAATACTTATTTAATTACATTTTTTTCCAGGGATTTTGTTTCCTTATTTCAGTCATGTCAAGACAAAAAAAGCTAGAAGAAAGCCTAAGAGACTTAAGGAAGACTAGAAATGTGTTAGATTTCATACAGTTATTGAAAGTCTATAAATGTAAGCAAATTATTAAACGAGTTTGTTACATGGTATCCGATATCTTTGATGAGGAGGAATGTCTTATAAATAAATTAAAGTTTCTGTTTGGCCTGAAATTATCATTGGATGCTGTAGAATGGTCTACTGGTTATTTTAGAATATGTGCTGAACTTTATGGTGAAACTGCTCTTGGTTGCAATAAGGATATAACAGAAAAGTTGTTTAATTTATTGGACTGTTCTGAAGAAAGTAGTAGTGGTCGTTCCTTTTCGGAAGCTATAGCAGGCCTTCTACGTGTGTTGCAGTCTGAAGATGGTAATTTAAGAGAAGCTTTAATTAAAATTATAAAAGAAACTGAAGCAATTGTAACTGAAAGCCGCAAATATCTCATATATTCCACCCGACAACATTTCAATGAGGGGAAGGGTACTGATATTCTGGATATAGGCATGTGCATAGCAAGCAAAGCCTGTGACTCCAAGGCTGATGAAGTATTAAAATTAGTACTCCGAATTGGTGACAGTCATGATGAATTTTCGGAAAAAGAGAAAGAGATAATAGGGAAGCTTATGCTGGATGCCGTGGTACCAATCCAACTTTATATGAGACGTGTTTTTATCACTCATGGTCATAGATCATTCATTTTTATACGCAGAAGAAAAGCTGCCTTAGAAATAATATTAGATGACTATGCTACATATACGCCTTTGAGTATATATAAAATGCCAGAATATCGAAAATTAAATGAAGGTATTGAACTATTAAGTAAAGTGAATAAAGACTGTTGCGATTCCTCAAACAGTGACAGTGACAGCGACAGTGATTAAATTTGTGACAAATAACATGGTGCGTAGCTTTTTTTAAAAAATGCTAGGTGCTTATTTTCGTTATTTAAAAGTCCTTAAGGGTGCTTTTTTGTCATTGGGTGTTTTTAAAGAATGCTCAATTTTCCGTTTTCGAAAATGAGATTATTTTCGTTGCCATGTTGATTTTCGCCACGCATTGGGCAAAAGTGTGCTTTTTATATTGTTCTATTTAACGTTTTCACAGTTCATTTCGGCGTACCGTGAAAAGCGCCAATCATTTTACATGTTTTTGTGATATCTAATATAATCAAGAAAAGAGTTCTTTGTGAGAAACTAGTTATTTTATCATGATCATCTGAAGTCTTTGAAAATTATTGCGCATTTTGTTAATGTGTATAGTGCTTAAAAATTACTTAAAAGGTGCTTATTTTTTGTTAAAAGATTTGGCTATGCACCCTGAATAATGTAAAGCCAGTTTAAATAACTGCTTAAGTTAGTATTGTTGATAAATATAATTTTTTGAAATGCCTGTTGCTTCAATGTTTCAATTAATAAATTATTTCCTTTGATTATTTTCATTTCTTTTATGTATTTTATATAAAACATTATCAAGTAAGACATGTAAAGTAAAATAGATATTTCCTATTGTTTTCAACACCCTTTAACGATACGTAAACACAAGGATAAGCCTCAAAGATTCTAGGAGCAGAAAAACCTATATTTTTCAAGCTTTTGCTTCATTCATTATTACAATTTGAGGCCAAGCTGCAAGGTTATAGGAAGGGTAGTTGGGGCAGATTGAAATGTCAGTGTTTCCCTTACGGAAGGTGATTTTTTTACTAAAAAGTATTTAAAGACAATAAAATAAAAGAAATAGGTGGAAAGAAAAATTTATTTTTTGAAGCATTTGCTTTTGACATGGTTAGTTTTTACTCTTGGTGTTTTAAGATAGCTCTAACTTTGTTCTAGTACATATCTTCGCTCTAAACAAAATGGTATTCACGTAAATCTAAGTGTATATTATGAAATTGAACGCTGAGTCCTTGAGCAACACACATTTGACAGGTCAACAAGTATATAAACTAATAATTCCCAAACATCTCTACCTTAAAACTGTAGTACAGTACAAAACCCGTTATCCGGAAATCAAAAAACCGGAACGAAATTCGATACATTTTCCAGCGATTTTTTTTAAAAATATGTTTTTTTCTTCATAAGATTTTAGGATTTTTCTTTCTTTTTTGAAAGATGTTTACCTTACCATCAGTTTAGAAATAATAAATATAATAGAGTTAGAAATAATAATAAATATATGTTTATTCAGAGAAAGTACGTTTTTGTGTCTGATTTCGAAACTTAATTAATAGTTAACTCTAATTAATTAGCATATTTGAGGTCACCCCCAGGAACCATTAAGATGGACACTTAGTTCGTGAAAATCCGATCATTAGAACGAACTAAGTGTCCATCTTAATGGTTCCTGGGGGTGACCTCAAATATGCTAATTAATTAGAGTTAACTATTAATTAAGTTTCGAAATCAGACACAAAAACGTACTTTCTCTGAATAAACATATATTTATTATTATTTCTAACTCTATTATATTTATTATTTCTAAACTGATGGTAAGGTAAACATCTTTCAAAAAAGAAAGAAAAATCCTAAAATCTTATGAAGAAAAAAACATATTTTTAAAAAAAATCGCTGGAAAATGTATCGAATTTCGTTCCGGTTTTTTGATTTCCGGATAACGGGTTTTGTACTGTACTACAGTTTTAAGGTAGAGATGTTTGGGAATTATTAGTTTATATACTTGTTGACCTGTCAAATGTGTGTTGCTCAAGGACTCAGCGTTCAATTTCATAATATACACTTAGATTTACGTGAATACCATTTTGTTTAGAGCGAAGATATGTACTAGAACAAAGTTAGAGCTATCTTAAAACACCAAGAGTAAAAACTAACCATGTCAAAAGCAAATGCTTCAAAAAATAAATTTTTCTTTCCACCTATTTCTTTTATTTTATTGTCTTTAAATACTTTTTAGTAAAAAAATCACCTTCCGTAAGGGAAACACTGACATTTCAATCTGCCCCAACTACCCTTCCTATAACCTTGCAGCTTGGCCTCAAATTGTAATAATGAAGCAAAAGCTTGAAAAATATAGGTTTTTCTGCTCCTAGAATCTTTGAGGCTTATCCTTGTGTTTACGTATCGTTAAAGGGTGTTGAAAACAATAGGAAATATCTATTTTACTTTACATGTCTTACTTGATAATGTTTTATATAAAATACATAAAAGAAATGAAAATAATCAAAGGAAATAATTTATTAATTGAAACATTGAAGCAACAGGCATTTCAAAAAATTATATTTATCAACAATACTAACTTAAGCAGTTATTTAAACTGGCTTTACATTATTCAGGGTGCATAGCCAAATCTTTTAACAAAAAATAAGCACCTTTTAAGTAATTTTTAAGCACTATACACATTAACAAAATGCGCAATAATTTTCAAAGACTTCAGATGATCATGATAAAATAACTAGTTTCTCACAAAGAACTCTTTTCTTGATTATATTAGATATCACAAAAACATGTAAAATGATTGGCGCTTTTCACGGTACGCCGAAATGAACTGTGAAAACGTTAAATAGAACAATATAAAAAGCACACTTTTGCCCAATGCGTGGCGAAAATCAACATGGCAACGAAAATAATCTCATTTTCGAAAACGGAAAATTGAGCATTCTTTAAAAACAACACCCAATGAAANTTTTTTTTTTTTTTTGTTTCTTATTTATTCGAGTAATGAAAAGTAAATGCGTATGTGTGCACAACAAAAAAATACAACAGATTGGTTTTTTTTTTCTTAAATGAACCAAAAACTATGGACATACAATTTTATTTCAACGGTGAAAGTTATTCTTGTGCGCTAACTAAAATAAAGTTACCCTTTTGTTTCAAAAAGTTGAAAATATTTGCTTACAAAGTTGTTTATATGATTTCTCAACTTTTGCACAGTTCAAAGAAATATTGCTATATCAGGAAAATGTTCGATATGCCTTGTTTTGTTAAACAACCACTAATATTAAAAATTGTAAATATATTCGAAAAACGTACTATTTTTAGAATCATCATCTCAAAAATTGTTCTTTTCCTCCATTTGACATTCTTCCACTTAAATAACTTATATAATATAATAGTTTTAACACACGTTTTGAAGAAATTATGAATACAAATTTCTCCTAATATTTTGTAATTAAAAAACAAGAATATTAATGATTCATTTATAATTGTTTCATTGAACCAGAGTAGTTAATTGTTTTCGTAATAATCGGCCTTAACTATTTAACTTAGATTGTTTGGACTAGGGGTCACTTCATGCATGTCTTTCGAGATTGAAATTTCATTGTGAGAAAATGTAAAAATTACAAGAATGCATAAGCTGGTTTCAAGTAACAAAAAAAAAGGACAAAATTGTTGGCAAAAGAAGTTATCTCATGAAAAAGGTGTCAGAGTTTAAAAAATATTGTAAAAACTGTAACAATCGTTACACTTGTTTAATTAAGGCTATTATAAACCTAATTTTCTTTTAATCATATTTTTTAAAGAACTAACGAAAGGAGTGTGTAAATAGCATCAACTCTTTTTACTGCAAACTAAGTTTACTTAATATCATTTGCAAATCTTATGAAGTGCAAATTATTGTTTTGATGTATTTTGCTTTGGTTATATTGATACAATATTAGAAAGCACTCTTTTTTGCGGATAGATATAATCGTGTGAGCTGATGAAAAGATTATAACTTTTATTTTCCGGATATTTGTAGAACTTTTTTTCCCCTTTTTTCGGAATTTTTTTCCCGATTTCTTGTGATTTTATTTTTACTATTATTTTTTTTCTTTTTCCATTTTTTATTGTTCTGTAATTTTTCCCATGTTTTCTTTACATTTTGAACTTATTTTATGAGTTCTATTTACTTGCAGCTTATGCGCAATAAATAAAACTTTTTGTATAAATGCTTTTAAAATGCCATATAACATTTACTAAGTTTTACAATTTTATCGAAAATAAATACCGTTAATTCTATAAAATTTTGTGATTATACATCAGAATAGCCATCTTTTTTCGGGTCCTCATTTCCTTGATCATTTTTTCTTCTTCTTTCCCTTACCTAAGAAGCTCGAAGCTAAGAAGCTCACTACAACTCTTCATAAATTTATAATAACTTATAAAAATTTGGTTTTAATTCAAAACTGTCACACAAATGACGTTAAAACAGCTTTAAAAAAATAAATAATGTCAGATAAGAAGTTCAACGTCACGAATTTAAAATCTTGGAGAATCAAAAATAATTTATTAATTGATTTAAATTTCCCTTTTTAAAGGAGATTAAGAAAACAAAAACAATTTGTTTTCGTTGCCCAGAAAGCAACTCGAAAAATTCTTTTGGTTGCTTAGCAACCAGAAGCACTATGTTTTCCCGTCTTGTCAATTATTTAGTTTCTTTATGGTTGTTATAAGTTATTTCTCCTTCTATGGCGAGGTAATTTGGCATATTTTTAAATCTTCGCCAGATATATAAATCCTTATTGGGATCCAATTTACAACCCATTTTTTTTCAAAATTTTAAGGGTCTGGATTCCAAATGTGTAAAAAAAAAATATATGTTTATTCAGAGAAAGTACGTTTTTGTGTCTGATTTCGTAACTTAATTAATAGTTAGCACTAATTAATTAGCATATTTGAGGTCACCCCCAGAAACCATTAAGATTGACACTTAGTTCGTGAAAATCCGATCATTAGAACAAAAGTTATTCAGGGTGATATCTTTTTTTTTTTGCGGACTGTACATTGTTTCTAAATAAAAAGAATTTAGGAATTCCCTATTATATTCTGTTTGACGATATAACCAGAATCTTTTAATTTCTGCTATAGGGGGAAAATGGAACTTCATAAATATTGAGATAAATTAGAAATTTTAAAAAAAATCTATCTCTAAATTTAAAATAAATAAAAACAATGTAGGAGTTGAACATTATACTATTCTGTATATGTGGCAGAATAACCAACATTTTCATTTGACAAAAAAAAAAAAAAAAACCTTAGTTGTCCTCTAGAATGTTAAGTTGACAAAAATGAAATTAAATATAAGCTAATACATAAAAATAGTCTAACTGCATGCATTGCAACCTCGTAGCAACTTTTTAAATAGTTCGAATAACATCATTTTATAGTTTTCAACAAAAAAAATATTTATACTAAAATTTAATCGATTGAGCTTTATTAATTTGCACCAGTTAAAACATCTATAAATTGAGCATAATCCCAGACTTCTAAACATTTTTTTAAAAGTAAATATTCAAAATAAACATCAGTATACGAATTTAGCATAATTTTTAAAGAAACAAGCCTTTTTAACAATTCCTAACTTTTCTTGGATTATTTGAATAATATTTTTCCTTCAAAACAATTAGCACATTAATTTCATTATATCACATACTATGTAGCCTTAATGGTAATTTTAATGTCAAAGGAAAATTCAAAACAATAAAAAAAAAGAAATTCG